AAAAAAAAGCAGTCATTGTAGAAATTCAGGTATTACCAGCAATACCAGAATATAAGGTAGAAAGTGAAAATGTTCCCCTCATCAAGAATCCCAACTGCCCAGAGATAGCCACTGTTAAGGGATTGTCATGTATCCTTACATACACATATACTTATATATAAGGGATCCTGTTGTTTTTAACATAAAAGGCTTCTAAGACATAAAATTATGCATTGCTCTGCATCTTGCTTTCCACATACCAACAGCTTAGAATCCTCCCAAAGAAGGACATCAATTTCTAGTTTCAGTGTCTGAGCCTGCTCACTTCATGGTACTTTTGACAACTATATATTTTTATTGTACTATTTGCCAATCTAATAAGTAACTCACAGTTATGTTTAATTTCCTAGCTTAGTTTTTCTTCTTATGGAATAGTTCAAATACTTAGGAACATAGAGAAGATAACTTATTTCTTCCTTAATTCAGCTCAAGTAGACAAGTGTCTGAAGTGCTTAACAGGTATTTGTAAAGTATGCGTACAGTTTTTCTGTATTAGAGAATGCACAGAATGTACAGGAAATAGCATTAGAATGACTGACGTGGGGTTTAAGTCCTTGTTAAATTTTCTAAATTTAAGACTATTTTTCTTATCTATAAAATAAGAGGGTATAAATAATTGCTAGTAGTCTTAAAGTTCTAGGAATATATGACTCCAAATCACAAAGGTTTGAAAACACAATGTTAAATTTCCTCTATTTGGATTGCTTAATGGTGAGAAGAGAATATTGTATCTCCTCCATTTCCCAAAGCCTATAAATTCCATAAGATCTTAGTTTTGTTCATTTATGTATACCAAGCACCTAGACATTGCCTAGCATGTTTATATTTATGGAATGATTAAAAATGGTTAGGAACTTCCAATTTGGTAAATTGCTTTGAAACAATTGTATTCTTGGCATAATTTCACTCTTTGGTCTCACTCCTGAAATGAAAATGCTACAAAATAGAGAACTCTTGTACACCATTCAGGGAGTTACATCTGCCAACAGTAGAAAGACTCTCAGTCTACTCCCGGGAGCTAAAGTCGAACTCCCTCCCCATCCCCAACACCTGATGGGGCCCACACTCCAAAGTATCAAAACTCATAGCTATGCATGTTCACAAGCCTATAGAAGCCGAGCTGTCACCTACCCTACCCCACTCTCAGACTCTACATCGCCGGAAGATGAAGAGTTACAGTTCCTTCTCTCACGAATTGCAACTCCGAAAACCGCGGAACTGAAGCCACCAAAGGCAAAGAAGCGGCAGGGAAAGGGGGTGGGAAGAGGCGAACAGACTGTCTCAAGCCCCAGTCATTCGGAAAAGCCCGTGTTGCTGAAAACCGCGTCCTCACCTCCTTCTTTCTTTGGGCAGAGGCCGAGGGAACGTCGGAAACTATGAACAGCGCCACTGCCATTGTCGCAGAAACACACCAAAACGACCAACGCGCTGCCATGTTCGCTTCTCTCCCTTGTATAAGCGAAACTTTGCTCTGGCTGGGTCTGAGGGTGGGGCGTGAGAACAGGCAAATCGGCCCCTTGCCTTTCCTCATTGGTTTAGGTCAGCCCTGCCGGGCGGCCCACACACATTACGTCACAGCGCGCTAGCGCTACACGCCCGCTAAAAGAAGGTTCATTTCTAATTGGCCCCCGTCAGCCAATAGAAAAAGGATAATCTGGAGGTTTTTCAGTGGTCCGCTAAAGATAATGACCCGCCCCTTTCTCGATACGTAAGCATCAAGCGCTCGGCCGCTTTCAAAACACGCATGCGCAGTTGTGAAGTGTTGCGGTGTTTTCAGAATCCAAAATGGCTTAAAGTTGCTAGAGCGGAATCTTTCACGCAAAGACTCATTTAGAAGTCCTTGAAATTCGCCTCTTTCATGTAATATTCTAGAAAAATGGGACCTAGCCTTGTGAGGGTTAAGAGCTATCTAGTCCATCATCTTGCCTCCAAAGTACTTCAAAATGAAAAAATAAAAGTAGGAAAGGAAAAATATACTTAATATAACGGAGGGAGATTTTTAAAGGTAAACATGAACAAGAGCTTGTTGAATACCTATTGTGTCCTAGAAACTGCCAGGAGCGCTGAAAAAAGAACATTAAATATCATTTTTAGAAATTGTTTCTGGCTTTTTTTTTTTTTTTTTTTAGACGGAAATTCGCTCTTGTCGCCCAGGCTGGAATGCATTAACGCGATCTCGGCTCACTGCAACCTCCACCTCCCGGTTTCAAGCGATTCTCCTGCCTTAGCCTTCTGAGGAGTTGGGATTACAGGCGCCAGCCACCACGCAGGCTAATTTTTTGAATTTTTAGTAGAGACGGGATTTCGCCATGGTGGGCAGGCTGGTCTCGAACTCCTGACCTAGGGTGATCCGCCCACCTCGGCCTCCCAAAGTGTTGGGATTACAGGCGTGAGCCACCGCGCCCTGCCGGCTTTTTTTTTTTTCTTCCAGTTAAACTCCTTGACTTACTATTTAAAGCACCAACAAGGACTTGAATTGCTGGTGATAGACAGCAAATGCCTTCTTTTTATTTATTATTTTGTTTGGAGGATGGGTGCAAAAGTAAGGTTGTAAAGCAGCACTTTCCCTCTTTTTAAAGTTTTTGTGATACTGAGTTTTCATTAAATATCCAATTCTCTCATCTAAAAATAGTGGAAATCCTACATAGATGAAGAAGCTTCCATTTATTTGGACCATTCTGTTTTACCTTAGTGGGTTGTTAAACTGGGATAATTTTGAACTAGAGAATAATTTCTCAAGAAGAAAAACAACAAGATAAAATCAATTTGCCTACAATTTGGATTTATTTTGATGGTGTGGAAAATATTTTATGACTATTATTTGAGGCCCTACTGGAAAAAAAAAGAAAAAACACCGGAAAATAATTTCAGTATGTTGGAGAGACAAGGAGATGGGATGGAAAGAAAAATAGCCGGCTCTGAAGTGAAGAGATGTAAAATAGAGATATGAAAATATTTAAATCATTTATGGAAACATATTAAGAAAATGCAGGTGGGGTGCGGTGGCTCATGCCTGTAATCCCAGTACTTGGAGAGGTTAAGGTGGGTGGGTGGGTGGATCACCTGAGGTCAGGAGTTCGAGACCAGCCTGACCAACATGGCCAAACCCCGTCTCTACAAAAAATATAAACATTAGCTGGGCGTGGTGGCTCAGGCCTGTAATCCCAGCTACTTGGGAGGCTGAGGCAGGAGAATCGCTTGAACCCTGGGGGCAGAAGTTGCAGTGAGGTGAAATTGTGTCATTGCACTCTAACCTGGGCAACAAGAGCAAAACTCCGTCCGGAGAAAGAGAGAGAGAAAGAAAGAAAATGCACAATAAAAGTACACTGAGACATGCTGTGTGATTCAATTTATATGATATATGACATTCTGGAAAAGGCAAACTCATTGGTACAGAGAACAGATTAGTGTCTGCCAGGGGTTACAGGTAGGAAAAGGGGTTGATTATAAAGAGGTCAGGCCGGGCGCGGTGGCTCAAGCCTGTAATCCCAGCACTTTGGGAGGCCGAGGCGGGTGGATCATGAGGTCAAGAGATTGAGACCATCCTGGTCGACATGGTGAAACC